ACCAGAATCAAACTCGGCCTGGATTCCGAGGAGGGGTTGCTGATTTCCACCAGCACCATAGGGTTTCTGGTCGAGATCTCATTATAAAGCTTCGTGAAATAGCTATCGGAGATTAATCGGAGCCAAGATTTGCACACGCATTTGGTTCTGAACAGAGATTTCACGGGCAACCTCGACAGAATCTGAAGGACAACCTCGTCCGGGAAAAACCCGCACTTTGAGCTGAACGAGTTCATCCTTTGATTTCATAAATTGACGGGTAAAAATTGAACAAAAAAGAATGGGGGAAATGATATGCGAGGCACTTACTCGATTGAATCTATCAAAATGAAGCCCCCCAAATGCGAAAATTTTCTCCGATTAAAGTTAGAGGAAGAGCATATTGGCATATGCTCGATAACTTTTATTTTTTTTTTCCAATGGTTTAATTCTGGATTAAAAGAGAGGGTTCCAGACGCCCTTGTGGTCCTACCGGCTCGATTCCGAATTAGTCGGTTCCCATGTGGATCCGAAAACCGGAAGGTCCCTGTACCGAAAAAAAAAGAGAGGGTTCTAAAAGTCGCTAGACACCGGTTAGACGCTCAACCAGCGTCTTGCGGCTTAGTCGGGGTAAATTAATATTAAATACTTTATTTTATTTATTTTAACTACCTACAAAATAAATTTATCTTAATTTATAATAAATCGACACACCTAAGTCCAAATAATAAAATTAAGATATTTTAAAAAAAACATGAGAACAAAATAATGTAATTAGTATTTAAAAAAACAAAAAAAAAAAAAAAATTGAAAAATTGTCGTCGAGCCTGCCTAGGAGAGCCTACGTTCGCCTATGCCTGCCTAGGCGCCGCCTAACCGCATGGCCGCCGAGTATGCCAAGTCCGCCTACGAGTGCCTAGGGCTGCCTAGGCGCCACCTAGTCGTCTGGTCGAGATTTGTGTAAATCGAAGGCGCCCGGGCATCGCCTAGGCGGCCGCCTAGACAGATTTTTAGAACAATGATTAAAAGTGAAAGAGAGTTGCACTTACACTGCACTTGAGCAAATAGCTATTTTAACCCCGCTCTGAAAATTGATTAATTTTATTATACATTGCTCACATAGTGCAAAGTTTTTAAATTTTAATTTAATTTTTACAATTGAACAAATTATGCAATGAATTATCCGACATGCAAAATTAAATGCGCAAGTGCAAATAAAAAAAAGATCAAAATTTTGTATTGTTGCCTTTGGAAAAATTTATAAGTTAGCCTCATGTTATTGCTGCCTTGAATTGGTTGTGAAACCCCTTTGATTGAAACTTTGAACCCACGAGCCTCGGACCAAGCCCTAGCCTGGATCAGGCACGTGAGTGGTGACCGAGTACGCACGCCCATGCTGAGAGATAGTTGGAGTCACGCGTGCAACCCAGTAGCGCGATCAGGTGACGCGGACGTCAGTGATGTCGCGCGCAAGCGCGTAGTCTCGCCGAGTCTGCTGGCCGCTTTCGGGTCGATGACATATTGAGAGCACGTCGTTGTGTGCCGCGCAACATGTCACGTTGCAAGCACTGCCGAGAGCTCGAGATTTGCCGCAGATAGCCACCGTCCCGTTTGCTAGCAGTAACCCCACATCGCCGACGCGCGAGAAGCTCCATAGACCAGAGTACAGCCCCAATCCTCGACCAGTGACCGCAATATGTCTCCGAGCAAGCGCGCGGGTCCCGCAGCGCCAGCGTGTGCGCCGCTGCTTGTGTGACCGTGCCACAGACCTGAGCCAGCGCCCAGCCCATGCGAACCAGCAAGACCAAACCCGTGCCACCAAGCCATTTTGAGCCGGTTGAACTATTTTACACACTGAACTCTATTTTAGACACGTGAACGATTTTTCGAGCATTCTTCCATTAACTGAGAGTTCCCAGTTCCACTAATTGATTTATAAGTCCTTAATTAAATGAGCTGATTAAGTTAAAATTTGTTAAGTTCCAAGAGGAATGTGACAAGTTATTTATAAGAATGTTCTTTCCTTAAACTATAGATTTTCGAGGAGTCGAGCCTTAAGTTCCTGTGTGAAGTATCTACATTTTCTGCATCATCCAAATTGAGGTGGGTGTTGCTAAACTACTATGCCTTTATCCTTTATAATCGCATGATTTCAATGTTGAAGTATGTGTATGTTGCCTATATGTTATGTGATGATTTAGACTTTGTGGCGCATCACTGTGTGGCACATTCAATGTGAGCTTCTGTTATTGAGCGCCTATGAGACGGCGACCTAGCGGTAAAAGTGTGTACACATGAGACGGTTGATGGATGGATACTTGAGACGAATGAGACTTATGTGGTAAATTTCATACTGATATTATGCTATATGTTATTATGATGAATAATTGCATAGTTTCCCACGGCGAGCTTATTGTTTGCTCATCCGCATATTTTACCATTTCTTTTAGGTCGAGTATTTGGCGGCAGTCGCGAGGAGACGAGGGTGGTCGATGTACGTATTAAACAATTATATTGCTTCCGCAAATAAAATTTTGACCTTGTGTTGTCTTGACTTTGATATTGAATCTATGACCGTGTGAGGAGATTTGTGACTGTGTGTTTCAAGACATTGTGAATGGGTGTTTATTTATGACTCGAGTTATAGAAAGAAAGAATTTTCTCGTAATGCCCGAATGAGTTTTATTTTGAAAATGATTTTCAAAAAAATAATTTTTTTCTGTAAACTTAGTGTTTTCAAAGAAAAATAAGCGGACATTAAGTGTAAGTGTCATAACATAATTACACTTTGAGGTAAATGATTTCATATTAGTAAATTATGAAATTTTTCAATAATGTGTTATTATTTTAGTAAGTTTTCAAAATTTGTTACCATGTAACTAAACATGACTACACTTTCGTATAAACGTCACAATTTAATTAAACTTTTAAATAAATGTCCCAATATTAGTTAACACGGTGAAAATCTTTAAAAAGTAACATGACTCGATTACATTTATAAAAAAAATGTTATTATAATTGTAAGAATATTATTTGTGAGTTTTCTCACATCCTTCATACATGGAAAATAGACCCACCTTATAAGGCTAATGGGCTACTCCTCTTTCCACCAATTAATTTTGGGATGGAACCTCACTTGGGCTTCATATGAGTTTTCCCTCTTATGGTGCGCTTCATGTTAGTGGGATCGCACCCGTTTTTCCCCCAGTTTCTTACAGTATCTTTGTAACACTTTTAAAAAGTGTCGCAAACACATCAATTTTATTAACATTTATTAAAAAGTCATCATATTTTTGTTGTAGTGAACTTTTATAAATTTATTTATTTATTTATTTATTTTTTTTTTGTACAAAGAAGGAGACAAAAAGTCTAAGAACCATTAGACAATTATACTCCGCGGATAAGCAATGCCAACAAAGTCATGTTGTAACCACGGTTTAACTGCGCCCGATGGTGGGTCAGGGAGCCGTTGATAACCACTGGGACAATGATGAGCTAAGGTCGCCAAACAATCGGCTGCAAAGTTGGCCTCCCTATAACAATGATTTACCTTAATCGCCCATTCTCGGCCAAGAAGCTCCCTAATAGCCCTCACCAGGCTGCCATGAACACCAAGTTGCTCCGTCGAACTCCCCGTCACCATCTGCATTACACTCATGCTATCGACTTCAACCTGGACCTGCCGGAAGCCCAGTTCCCAAGCTAACATCAAACCATGGAAAAGGCCCCACAACTCTGCTCCAGTGATGGAGCAATACCCAATATTCATCACAAACCCTCCTAGCCATCGACCATTAGAATCACGGGCCAAGCCCCCAGTAGACGCCATCCCACTCGAAGGCAAAAGAGAGCCATCCGTGTTAATTTTAATCGTGCCAACCTCAGGAGCAACCCAGCGAATGAAATGAATCCCTCTACCCGAACCCATGCCGCCCAGGTGGGACTCCACGGTCTTGGAGAGGTGGACCCCATGCACAAAGGAGCGAACGTCACGAACTTTATTAGCGACGAAGAACTCCTTGTCAGAAAAAATCTTTTCATTACGACCCCGCCACACTTGCCACACCGTGATGCCAAAAACTGTTTATTAATCAGTCCTTGCATGAATTCGATTACAAATAGTTTTTATTTGAAAGACGATTTTATGTTGGTCTTTACGATTTTACTCGGTTAATAACAATTCTATATTACAAGCACTCACCCATTTTTAATTTTTTCTATGTAAGGTGTTACGCCACTCATAGCATGAATGAATGAATTAAAGTAACTAACTATTTATATAATATAAATATACAAAGTATCAAAAGATAGTTGAATTTCCAATACAAACATTTTTATATGTTTACCTGTCATGTTTTGATTGGCTGGAAAAAATGAAAAGTATGCAGGGGATAAGTTTAATAGTAATTCATATGCTGGGTGGGACCTACTTTTTAACACTACATAAAATATAACTTATTATTGTAGAAATCGGATACTAATAACTCTCGTGTTAGATTAATGCTATATGTACATAATGTTGTAATTCACTAAAATTAAAAAATAAGTGCCATACTCTATGTGAGTGTTATATATACATTTTTATTTACATTTATTATGTGCATATAACATTTTTTAAAAAAAAAACATATATAGCAATGACTAAGAAAACATAATGTACCTTCATACCTCATCCTTGTAAAAAAAAAGTACATGACATTTATCGAAAAGATTATCATAACATGGTCCTTTAATTTGATGCACTTACGGCTAGTGAATTGAAAATATTGGTTACATTCATTTGTCAATTCTCAAATTGATATCGATACGAGATCACACTTGTCTTCCTCGAAAATACGCTGTGCTACATCACAAATGAAACTGCATTGTTTCTTCGGTGTTTTGTCTTAATCAGTTCCAAAATGACAATTATTGGTCGGACTAAAATTTATTAGTACTTATTTCTAGGAACATCATTATTGTAATTATTATCATTATTGAAAACCTTCAAAATATAAGATTTGAATTGACTCGACCCTATGTTATTTGTGGGTTTGAAGAGGTTGGCCGGTCAAGTAAGAGTGGATTAAGGCTAAGGTCTCGTTCGGCTTGTCGGAAGGCACCGAATGGCCCGCCCCTCTCACGGTTAAAAACGTCAACCCTTCATATTCCACCATTCTTCCTGCTACCTGCAGAGTTTATTTTAATCATTAGTGTAAGAAATGGGGGCAAACGGGTGCGGTCCCACGCACGTGAACCGTACCATAATTGGTGAAAGAAGGGGCAACCCACTAAGCTTATAAGTTGAGCCATTTTTCCTGTACGCGTTGTGGGATAACTCGCAAGCAGCATTATATTCTAATAGTTAGATAGTGGAATTCTTGATGTAATTTGAACATATAATTTTTAGACAAGTTTCTTTTACTCTAACCTGATGATCATAATACCAATTAGTCCAAGGAGTTTTGAGTGTTAAGTTAAGATTTTCCACACAGTATCTTGAACCAATGAATGGGACACGGCCATCTACATCCCCGCTACATAAAACAAACACCACCAAAATTAATATAAAATTCAAGAGAAAAAAATTCATAATATATATATACTACAAAATTATTATAATTAAAAAGAAAAAACAAAAAAAAATGGGTACGTACCTGTACATCCATATCTTCAAACCTGCATTGGTGAGCTTTTTGTATATCGGCAACACGGAAAAAACGGAGCGATTGTATGCTCCGAATATAGTATAACTGCAACGACAGACGACTAATTATAAAAAAAAAAGGCCTTTTAATTTGGCTAAATATAATTAACGACTTATCTTAATATACTAACTTGCATTCTTGCCATTTTATATATGATCCATGTTTTCTACAATTAACATGAAGTGCCTTTTGGACGTCTTTTCTGTTGAAGTACTTGTTAGTGTATTGGGAAGAACACGGGTCAGAACTCGCCGGGACCAGCTCCATTCTTCTGAATAAGCGGCCGAGTGCATTTCCCTAAAAAGAAAGTAAAATTACAAACTGTCCTTGAATTGGGGGAATTGTAAGAAGTTGGAGAAAGTGTTGCATTTTGCATGCCTTTGTATATGAGAAGTTTTTTCCGGTAAGGGCAGTATGGTGAAGAAAAGTTGAGGTGGTGTTGGCAAGACAAGAAGGGGCATAAATGTTGTAGAAGTCTATGTCGTTATATTGATTCCATAACGAAATCATAGCATCAGCACACGGGTCTGACCAGTCGTCGGTCCTGAAATCACACGTTTTTTTTGCCACGTAATAGGTTTGATCTGATATAATCGAGTGGCTCCATGCGAACTCGAGTATGCCTTGATTATCAAATTCGTCGCTAGTTTCAGGGTTTCCTACCTGCAAATACCTATTAATTTAGTCGTTTTATATATCTAGGCAAAATTGCATATTAATGCATCACCTTTTATATATATTTTTTTTTTTTGCAATTTAATCACCACCTTTACATTGTTGCAAATTAATGCACCTTTTATCATTTTTGCAAATCGGTACATGAATGATGATTTCGTTAAACAAATCTAACGAAAATCTGACATGACATTAACGTGGCTCAATGCCATGTTAGATTTCCGTCAACGGAAATGAAAAAACTCAACTATATATCATTCCACAATTAAAAAATAAAATTCGGAGGATATTTGTAACCTTGTTTACAAACGAAATAACGCGTTATTTGTCAATTTAAACAACAAAAAGGCAATATTAGGAGGAACAAAAGCAAAAAAAAAAAAAAAAAAAAACATACAATAAATCCTTTGAAGTTGATATGTGGATATTTATTCGTCATCTTGTTCCTGTCATACACAAGTTCAGCCAGCTGAGGTACATAATGACCTGCAAACATAATTCGACATGTCTTTCGTAAGAGATTTATGTATATACACAACGGAAATATGTAAGAACATTTAATTATGCCACAAAATTAACATTGTTTAAGCTCTTACGACCTGCATAGCTCTCGCCTGCAATAAAAAAATTGCAGTGTTGGAACTGTCGAAATTTTTTCAGCCATCTAACCATAAATATGTAGGTATCCTCAGCTGTGGAGAGAAAGGTATATATATAACAAAAATAAGTTCAGATAAAATCTACAAATAAGTGACTCTCAAACCTTGTGACATTAAATAACAACTATAAAGTTTTAGTAATTTGACAAAATAATTAATTTACCAACAAATTTGTCGTCCATATTGTTGAAATCACTTGGTGTGTTGGTGTATGAGAACCCAACCCCAACTGGCGACTCTACAAACAGCAAATTAGCCTCTGCAGGACATGCAAATTGATGATGATCAAATGGTTGTTTGACGAGGCTCGATAAATCATCATCACAATAAAGAAAGGGTTAAGACTACAGTCCGTTACAAAACTATTCCGCTGGGATTTGTAACCTTTGTACCAAGATTGCTGATTATATTCAAGGCCGTTTTCGACAACTATAAGAGGCCCCAATTCTATAGCTGCTCCAAATCCAATTGACGAGCATCCAGGTCCTTCATAAAAATAATTAAAAAAAATTAAATAAAACACCATTTAATTATCATCATGCATGCAATGATCTTAAGTACTTACTATATATATTAAAAATCAAGAAAGTAATGGCAGTCGGTTAATATATAATACCTCCATTGAGCCAGAGGACGAGGGGCTTGTTGGTGGGCTGAGATTGGGCCTCAAAGAACCAATAGAAAAGGGCCCTCCCATGACTTTCATTAACTGTGATATAACCTGAAAACTGTGACACACTAATATTTGGTTGGCCAGGTAATTTATTTACTCTGTCAAGCTCATTTTGTTCTTCAGAAAACTCTATATATGCTACAACAAAGACAAAAACCCACAACAAGATTTTATTTTGAAGTATAGTTTTTGATGCCATGTATGTAAATTTTTAGTGTGTTTCGATGTGGGACAGTAGAAGTGTTATTCAATATGATTTCTTTCTTGAATGTGTGGGATCTATTTATAGATTTCAAATATTGAGTAGTTATATTCTATACGATGTAGTTCATGTACATATGTATATACAGATTTTTCAAGGTGACAACATCATTAGGACTTCATTTTCTAGTCTATATAAAAAATTGGAAGCTCGATGTACTTGAACACGTTTTTGGCTTCGTTATGCGATTCACTAATCTCTGAAAAATCATCATCGGTAGCTACAAAAAGGTCTCATCTTATCCATTGTTAACAAGTGTCCCATCGGAGATCGAATCATGGATCTTTCCAGCTTTACCTTTCTAAAAAATATTATATTCTATATAGAAATGCTCCCCTACCCACGGTGGGCACATGTTAATATGCCCACCGCGTAGGTGGCATGCACTAATTGGTGATGTTAATATGTTTAAAAAAATACATCACCAATGAG